GCGCGCGCTGCTGCGCCTTGGCGTTCGGGGTTTGGCTGCTTCTGGATTTTGGTTTTTTGTTTTACTTCTAAAGGAGTTGTACCGAAACAGATTTAATCACGTCCCCGCTAATTCTCGTCGCTCCTATCTAAACAACCTGCAAAACCGGGGAAGAAAATTAGCAGTGTTAAGCCACACTAACTGCTACACAACACTAATTTTACGCAAGATATACACTACAGCTCTTATTAATTATGCCTAAACCGCGCTGTAAAATTTGTTAGAAGCCACTTGACAATTATATTATTGCAAATATTTGCACATTTATCTTTTATTTATACTAATAGTATCTTCTGCTGACACATTCCTTGCAATCAAGGTCTCAACAGCTATCAACATTTTATATTCTTCTATATTCTTGCAAATATTTGCACGTTTATCTTTTATTTATACGAAGTATCTTCTGCTGATTTGCGAATAAACATTTTGTCGAGTTAAGGACACATTCCTTGCAATCAAGGTCTCACTCACAGAACAGCTATCAACGTTTTTTCCCAGGCAATATGATGGAGCTATTAGAAATTAGGATAATTACAGTCAGAAGTATATATTTAGCCTGCCATCTCCTGTTTGGAAATAAACTCTATGGCACTTATGAGAATGTTTTAAGTAGAATGTCATGGTCCAATGGAAGCAAGAAAGGCAGAACATAAAAAAAGACGCATTAGGAAATCTTTAAACAAGGATAGGGAAATAAAGCTGATCCCTCTTGCATAAACTTGTTCAGTCTCTCATTGACCCATTTAAATTCTCATTGTCCACAATATCCTTTGGCAAGTACTTCTAGAGCTCAAATAACCTTTGGTCTGAAGAGCACCATCCTTTAGTTGTTGTTTGGTTTTTTTTTTAATTTGAACCTGATTCCGATATTGGCACTTGATGTCCCCAGTCCTTGTACTGGAAGGGACAACAACCAACCTGCCCTCATCTAGGCCACTGTTACACAGACTACTCTCCAGTTTTCTCTCCCTGGCCTACCTAGCCTTTCCTGAACATTCCTGTTCCATCTTCCTGCTTTTTTGTGAACTGTATGACATTCACTGGGCTGGCATTTCTGTGGAAAAATCTGCCATAATTCTGAGATCTTATTCTTGAGTGATGGTCAGTTCAAAGTTTGTCTTTCAATGTGTGAAATTAAGGTTTTTATTTTTTCTTATACATATATTTGTTTGATTTTTATCTGCATTGAATTTCATCACTGTACTTGCCCATCACTCAATTTCATAATGTCCTTCTGCAGTTTTTCAGTCAGGCCCTCGTTATCTTGAATAATATAGTGTCACAAGCTGTCACCTCAGTAAGCTTTGTCTTGCATACAGAAAATGAAAATAACACATGCAGAAACATCATCCAAATTAACATTGTTCTGTTACAGTACTAAAAAAAATAAAGTTCATGCTTTTAGGTTAGTTTAATTCTTGTTGATTCTGGAAGAAAATTTGAAATTTCCAGGTTTCATCACCAGCAGATATGCTTAGCTGGTTATATATGCATACAAATCCTATCAGCATTTCAGAAAAATCTTCATACAGGAAGTGCCTATATAAGCATAATATAAAAACATCCCTCTTTTTATATTTTATGTTTTCTTATAAAGAAATTTAAAAATCCAATAAAAACTATACAAAACATTTAAAATTGAGGCATGAATCTATTTCTACCATAAATCATACATAAGAGGAACTGTGTGCATTTTATGGCTGCAATATATAACTTGTACATCTTGTAAAAACTGTTTTCAAATGAAACTTCCTCAGACATTGCTCTTTCAGAATCTGGGTTTAATTAATAAAAAAAATTCAGGTGGATTTACAGTTCAGAAGTGGAATAACTGCTTTTGGAGATGTTGGTAATTAGAAAGGTCTGAGGTAATGGGAGATGGTTCTGATGTGACAGTCCTGTTTGTTTTACCTTTTAATTTGTTCCTTGCTGGAGGCATACAATCTGGAGGTTTATTACAAAGCTGCCACTCCTTCGATTTATCCAGCTGAAGAACGTGTCCTTATGAACCACCGTTCAGAGTGCCAGAGTTTAGTCTCTTCAGTTTGAAAGGTTTGTAAAGAACCCCATCACCATCTCAGAAATAACACTGAGAGTTTATTATTAGAAGATTATTCATAGCTTTAATTGAGAGAAACCAGTATAATATAAAAACCAAACCAAACAAACAAACAAAAGAGTCCATGTTACTTTACTGTAATAATTCCCCTTTTTGTAGCCAAAGTTTTAATTTAGATAGGGATTTGGGCGTTTTTGCATGCAAAATCTGTCAACCTAATGGTAGCAGAATATATTTTTCTTCAGATTGAGTGCAATATAATGCATTTCAGCTTGTTTGTTTCATAAAAAATAAAACCCTGTCATGAATACTTACGACTATTTGCACTTCAAGTGAGCCTAAGCAAACACACCAAGGTTTCCCATAGAGCTCAGCCAATTTGTTGGATTATTCATGGCAGCAGAGAATGTGTACTTTTTAGAGCTTTTGTACGCCATTGCTCTTGATAAATGTTATCAGTTTTACAGCAAATGACAACTGAAAAAAAAAAAAAAGCTCCTTGGAGGACTTCATGTACCTGGGAATGTGGGAATAGGTGGGTCTCCAGCAACTTGGGGATCCTCTATTGTTTCCATACCAGTGTGTGGAAGCTTCCTGAGCATTGCAGAGGGAGGCTCTGGACATGGCTGTGTGAATCAAGTGCTCCCAAAGTTGTATTGGTACCTGGCCTTTTGTCAAGGCCCTCCTTGTACTTTGCAGATAATGATCTAGCTCTGGGCTGCTTAAGGACTCTTCATTTCTACCTGCCACATTTGCTACAGGCAAACCACATTGTGATTTTTAAAAATTCTGTGTACTGTGTTATTACATAAGTACCATAACTGAGCTCCTAAGGTCCCTCGCTGATGTTCCCTTGGCCCTCCTGTCCAATATTTATTTCAGGGATGAAAGGGCTCCCCGCAGCCCGCCGGGTGACAGTAGGTGGCAGCGTGGCATCACGCTTCCCCTCCCTCTGCCTCTTGTTTTTCCGTCCTGCTTCCTGCGTTACCGACAAGAAATTCACGGTTTGTCTTCTTTTCCCTGGGTTAATCAGCATGGAAGGCTGCATGATAATGAAATTCGTGCATTATCTACACGGCACAATCCAGGTATAATTCATAAGGCCAGCTAGGTTTGGATGACGGCCACTGTTGGTAATTAGATCTCTCCAGAGACTACACAAATTTCATGTATTAGAACAAAAGATTGTCCTGTGAACCATGATCCTGACTGCCTCAGAGGTGAAAAGTTAAAAGAAAAGTCTGCATCTCACCTGGTTATTTTTTTTCCGTAGTTAAGTACTGTGTGAGTGACTAAGACATCCCTTAAGACACTGTTAGGTCCTAACACACAGCTTCAAAAAAAAAATCATTTATAAAAGTGGTTTAAGATTTAAAAATTAAACATGCTCCATAAAGGCTACAAATTAATAATAAGCTAGAGCTACTGTTGACTGCAAGTATTCAGAATATTATTTACAGACTGAATAAATAAAACAAGAGGTTTTTTTTTCAAATTTTACCCTTATTCGTGGAAGCATCTGCTGATCAAACACAAAACCTACATTATTTAGGACCAATACCTCACATGCCCAAGAACTTACGACCCATTTTATGACCATGGGCCCCTGAAACTATAAGATGGGACATAAAGAAGTGCCAAATGAAGCTTAATATTGTAGAAACAGCTGTGCAGTGGTGTGCTGATTTTGTCAGGGGTAGAGTTAATTTTCTTCTGTCCACTGCTGTCCATCATGACAAGAGGTGGAATAACCCAAGTTATTCTACAATTCTGTGATTCTAACTGGGTCCAGTACATGATAAAAGGAATGTTGTACACATTGAACACTGACATTTCGTTGCACAAAAGCATTCCTGTTATGGCTTAGAAATTAATGTTTTTTCTGAAGGCAGAAAAGAGTGAATCAGAATGTCCTGAAGTATATGAAAGAGTTTTAATTACCACCTAATTTGTCTTGTTTGAATTTACAAAGAATACTAATTTATTTTTGTCTGATGCATAAATATTTGGCGCTGAATTAATCATAGTTCTGTTTTTGAAGCAAGTAGCTTCAGGGCTGATTCTACTTCTAACATACAGTACAGTATGTATGGAACGTACAGACTAAAGATAACAGAATCCATCTCATCTCTTCCTAAATAGGTCTATAACATACATAACAATTCGAGACGATCTATTAAAAACTAATTATTAACATGAAATTATCAATTTTTAAGTAACCAATCATTAAGATGGGAATTAAGAGCGGAGGCATTAGAGTACAATCTTGCCCAAATGCTTATGAGTAAACACGTAATTCTGAAAACAGGAATTAGACTCTGAAATTTTTAGGAAAAAGAAACCCAAAATGACAAGATGTATCTATATAGTTAACAATCGTTTTTAATTTACAGAAAAAGCACAAATTATTATGCAAATGAGTGCTTGATTTCCCTGAAAACAGTGAGGATATGATAACATGGGGACTAGAAAATAAAAGTTTTTCAGAGAAGAATAGCCAGCAACCAGATGTTCTAAACTTTCTGTGCTTCTCAAAATTCCATGACTCACTTTCTCTCCCAAAGAACATATTTTTTGCCACAAGGTCC